GGCTGTATTCACAGGCCCTCGCACTTATTAACAGAGACATTGGTTCAGGCCGTGCGGGTTTTTGGACCATTATACATGCCCATATTCTGCCGAAAATGGTGCTCTATATCTTAAGCCCAAAAATGATGGATGTTGCAACGAAAGTTGATTTTTATCGACAATTTTTTCGGTGTTGTTGTTGTTTGTTTGTTTTTTTTTTTTTCTCACAGGTCCTATGTTCATTTTATGGTACCATATTATGAGGCGTGATTAATCGGTTTAAAGCCCAATTTCATGCGCATCAACATAGACTTTTCTCATGGTAATGTTGGCAACGAGCGTATCAGATGATGACTGTCAAAAGTTGATGACGACCTTCCCCTTCCATCAAAATTCGCCACTGTTTTTTTTGGTCATCTATTATGTCAAAAGAGTTGGAAAAAGCTAAAATCCAGCAAACTTATTTTTCGATAACTCTTTCCATGAATATATTCAGGATTACAACCACACATTATGCCGCGTACTCGGAAAAGTATTCCAAAGCATGTGAAAAGAGATACATCGACGGTGAAACTACAAAACCACGTATCTCGGTTTTCAGTGTTGCAGACTTCCTGTCATGTTTCATTTTTTAAATGGAAAACTACTCAACATCATTTCTTGAAAACTTCAGTGATTTTTCATCTCAGAGCGAATAACGCTTGTTGTAAACTTCAAGGAATGATATTGATTTGTTCTTCTTAAAAAAAATGAAACGGGAGCGGAGATTCTTAGACAGCGCAACCGAGATACGTGGTCTGGTCTGCCATGCTAAGGAAAAACGCCGTATGCACCGTCAGGCATTGCCAAATTTCCTTTCATAATAAACGAATTTCCTGGTAAATTTATGAATATTTTTCTCCCAATTTTTCAGATAATTTAGTTCACAATTTTACTTGAAGATTTTGCAAATTTCAAGGAAAAATATTCATAACTTTCCTAAAAAATTAACATTTTATCGAAGGAAATTTGGCAATTCTCGCATGATCATACGGCGTTTTTCCTTAGCACGGCGGTGGTAGTCTCACCATCGATATATTATTCCTCAACTGCTTATTTACTTATGGGCAGATGGACCGTATTTCAATCATTTATCAGGGCCCGAAAGTTCAAACGAGAATTTTGGGGAAAACCGTTTTTAATGCAAAGCAACTGCATAGTGATTATTTGCCAAGGTTATCCGGCAGGCTCAATTTTATTTTTCAGTGTAGCGACATGAGATCAGCATCACTTGTCTCCTCGCTCTTTGGATACTAGAATATAAATTCACCATCTCAATGAATCAATGAATCCGCGTTGAATTATCTAATTCAGAAAATGTTTCTCACTTTTTTTAATGTACGAGGGGCGTTCAATAAGTAAGTATCCCCCTCTCTAAAATCCATTAAAATGGACCAATTTTAAAAAAACTTGGGCTCAAAATCTTCCTTAGGATATTTTGAGTTCAACAAAACAAACCGCAACAAAATCGGACCATGTGCGGCCGAACGCGAGCCGTTTGAACTCCCCGAGGTGCTCGACGCTCCCGCCAAATCCGCGAGGATTTGAAGTCCGCTACAGGAGAAGAGCTTCTCTGCCAAAGCCTTAGTCGTTCATCACTGACGAAAAATCAAAGAAATTTTTGTAGAATAAGGGGCTTACCTCACTTCTCCACATAACCAGCTCGATCCAAGCAAGTCTGATACTGAGACTAAGACTAAGAGAACAGCTTTTGGATGCCTCGTGCGTGGAAGTCTTTCAGCTGACCGCGGATGAAAGAGTGGACGGCTTGTTTGACCTCTTCCACTGATTCAAAATTAACTCCTCCGAGTTCAGATTTCAGATACGATAATAAATAGCAAACCAGACCACCATTTATTCCCGTTCCTGAAATCTGAACTTGGAGGAGTTAATTTTGAATCAGTGGAAGAGGTCAAACAAGCCGTCCACTCTTTCATCCGCGGTCAGCTGAAAGACTTCCACGCACGAGGCATCCAAAAGCTGTTTTCTTAGTCTTAGTCTCAGTATCAGACTTGCTTGGGTCGAGCTGGTTTTGTGGAGAAGTGAGGTAAGCCCCTTATTCTACAAAAATTTCTTTGATTTTTCGTCAGTGATGAACGACTAAGGCTTTGGCAGAGAAGCTCTTCTCCTGTAGCGGACTTCAAATCCTCGCGGATTCGGCGGGAGCGTCGAGCACCTCGGCGCGTTCAAACGGCTCGCGTTCGGCCGCACATGGTCCGATTTTGTTGCGGTTTGTTTCGTTGAACTCAAAATATCCTAAGAAAGATTTTGAGCCCAAGTTTTTTTAAAATTGGTCCATTCTTATGGATTTTAGAGAGGGGGGATACTTACTTATTGAACGCCCCTCGTACGAGCCGATGAAAATAATACCCACATCGTGGGTATTATTTCTTAAAACGTGTAAAAATTAAATTTGCCTTTCCGTCTTTCCAAATGTAGTAATTTCCAAACGAATGCTGAGATGAGCGGTATCATTTAGGGGACAGAAGGGGTACTTCGTTTTGCCTTCTCATACACACTTCATTAATTTAATTAACTAGCTCAAATAATAACAAATTATAGACTAAATGACTTTGTTTCGTTTTACGAAATCGATTCCTGGGTTATCCGTATTTTAAGGGACAGCATACGATTTTCCAAGAATGCAAATGCGAGCGATGAGGTCAATGACTCCAATGTTTCTTGGCAAACGCAATGGTCATTCCCTATCTAAATTGGATTGCATTTTCCAAAAAGGAACCAAGCGTATTTCGATGTCGCCATGATTGTGCGGCTTTTTACTTTCTTGCTCCCCTAGGGTAGAGAGGAAGTATTGTCATCCTCCAAGAAAAAAAAAGGTTGAATTTTTTTCCCTTGCAAGTATAAACTGATCATCTAAACAATTTTTATACTATCAATAAACTATCATTTCAAGACGAAAATTACCTTGGTCCATTTAATTTTTCGCGTGATTTTTTCCCAAGAATGTAAGGAGCAAAACCTTAGCAACATTGGATTGCACTTGGTTCCATTTTGCAAAATTTAATGTAATTCATATCCATAGCCATAACTAGAACGCGCGAAGAGGGAGGGTGCAAAAGTTATCTGCGTCCTTGTTGGAGGGGTGTAAAGTATTTTTTCCAGGAAATTTTGAAATGCAACCCTTTTTTGTCATAGTTACAATTGAAATCCACCCAACTAAATTTCATGACCATGCGACTGCCAGTAGATAATAAACTCTGGCTCTGTCAACTTTTTTCAAAATGTCCCTTTCTGCGCTTGTTCTTTTTTCTATTGCCACTAAACAGTAAAGAGGGCACGTCAGGGGTTGAACCTCTTATCGGCCGGGAAGGGGGGGGGGAGGTTGGACTGAGTCTCTCTGTATATTATACACCTATTTTTATTCCTTAATATTCTTATTATTTTTGGACGTTTTTCGATCAATACACGCAGGTTACAGGTTTAAAAGACCTGAAGGTGCACCGCCTCGGTAAGCACGTAGACAAGCGTAAAAGTTACGTATTTGGACCGAGTTAAGCTGCAAGGAATAAAGGAGCCAACATGCGTGGCTCATTTTAGAAACAACACAAGAACCACCAGTCTCCCTGCACAGATAGGCGCTTTTCTAGATGAACAATAAATGCTTTTTGCGTAACGTTTTCCAGCTTAACGAGGGCACGTGACTTTGGAAAGGACTGCATTTCACCACGCTTTTCTCCCCCCCCCCCCCCCGAGACCTCGGAATCGGACTGACGTCATTCCAGTCGTTTCCTAAATGGGGGAGCGTAATTCCATTTATAGCTGGAAAATTGACTCACAGAATGCAATTTTACACGGATAAATAACTGTGTCATTTTAATCCTAAATGTGCCTGATTTTTTCGTGTAATATGAGGAAAAACCAGTGGTATTTTCGATCAGAAATATCCAGCAGTTTTCCGTTGAAAATAGTATTTTTTGCGGAAATTTTGCAACGTTAAAATGCACTTACATCCTTTCATCTGAGAAATGACGAATTTTAGCCTCGAGCGAATGTAATTAATTGGGCTTTATTTTGCAATAAAGAATCACTATTTCCTCATGCTCATTCATAAAAGCTCTTATCCGCACAGAGAATCAAATGGCGCGTGTCATATTTCTTGAATAAGCCTGAAATAGTAGTTAATATTGCAAAATTTAGTCCAATTGATCATGATTCGTGAATTACCCGTCAACATGATTATATAGATGGGTTAAGTAAAAAATGCGAATTGTTATTGCTGTTAAAAAAACCCTCGATTTTACTTTATTTTGTCGAAAGATAACCGACGGAAAGATCTCCTGGATATTTTCTGTAAATATTTTTGAATTAAAAGAGAATTTTCAGTGAACGTAGAGGAATACTTCCACTTAGTATTGTTTTTTAAAAAATTAACACCTGAGCCGAGAGCTGCGGCGCACAGTGGATCGAGTCAATGGGAGAGGTCGGACAACATTTGGAAACTTTAAAAGCTCATAACTCTGTTCACACCAAATTTTGAAGATTTAAAAGTGGTTCCATTGGTTTTCTCGTGAAATTATCTTCTAGACGCACTTCTTGAAATTTAAGATATGACGAAATAAACATCAAAATTTGCGGTTTTAGACAAAAATTACATATCGACGGTGAAACTACCAAACCACGTATCTCGGTTTGCGACGTCGCAGACTTCCTGTCATACTTTATTTTTTAAATGAAAAACTACTTAACGTCCAGTCTTGAAAATTTCTGTGATTTTTCCTCTTCAAGCGGAGAAAATTCTGTGAAAATTTCAAGGAATGATATTGATTTTGTCTACTTCAAAAAAATAAAATGCGAGCGTAGATTTTTAAACACCGCAAACGAGATACGTGGTTTGGTAGTTTCACCGTCGATATCCGACCTATCTCTAATTGTATCTATCCACTGTGTGACGTTGCAGTCAGTATACGCATTTTTGACCCTAGCCATCAATCCACAAAGATACAAAAATGCGAGGGACTTACCCGATGGGTTAATCCTAGATATAAATCTATAGACAAAAAAATGCAATGGACACGACACTATGGAAACACACTCTTAGACAATGGTGCGAGTTTCCTGCCCCACAAACGTACTGATCAAATCGGTGGATTTTCACGTGTGCCCGTACCTTGCCGCCTCATTTAAATTCCCCCCTCCCCCTCCCCTGACCGCATCGTTTACGATTACGACGCTTTTAAGCCGCGGCTATCCGAGGCACCGCGGATAAAGTCAAAATCTCCTAAAATCCCGCCTCCTCGGACGAGAATGACAGATCTTTATCGAAGGTTTATAGACAAAAACTACGACCGGGACCATGTCTATCGATAAACGTCAATCGATGGATTAAGAGTTTAATCAGCGTTGCCGTGCTCGGGAAATTGTCCTGATCTTTGGATTGAGGACGTGTGAAAATTTGCATGAAAGGCAACGCTGTAACTTGAGACTAATGGGTCAGTTTAGTGGCACTTAAAGTTTTGGTGTTTCTATTGCTCTGATATGACAACGTAGACACGACCCTCATTGTCAGTGCTATGATTTCGCGGCGTGCTGTTTGTTGGCTCTCTCGATTTTGGTACAACATCTGTGACGTCATGATGCGTTTGAGTTGCCTAACTTCAGGCGTGAAGAATATAAGAAATCGTATGTGTGTGTCCTTTCATTTTCTCTGCGGTCTAGGACCCTCTCCTCCTTTTGAAGAGGATAAAAGTACCTCCGTGTAAAACTAGCTCTTATTTATTTGTTGCCATAGAGCCCATTCTAAATATGACGTCATAAATATTTACAAGCAAGAAAAACATAGAAGTGATTGTTAGAGTCTCTTTATAGAGAGTTGAGAGAGCGCGGCTTATGGATCTCACATACGGGAATCAAGATTACACAAATCGGACCGTTTTTGTAATCTTTGATCAACCCATTCCCCCCGATTTCCCGGTCCATTCCGGTTTATATACCTGGTAATGGTGAAAATGTAATCTTCATTACCGTTTGTGACACTGCGAAGGCCTAAACTACGGGAACCAATCAGAAATGGATTCGCATCGTCTTTACTCTCACTATAAAGGGACTCTAGCGATTGTAGGAACTTGTGTTGACTTTTAATAAGGTCAATATTTTAAATAGTTTAAAAGCCCCAAAATAACTTTACTTCCAAACGTTCAAACATCATTAATCAGGTGAGGCGGCAAATAAGAACATTTTTCTTAAAAAAAAAAAAAACGTATCTTTGCCAGCATTTCTGTTCAGATATTCCCTTTCCTTATAGTGCACAGATGTGAATGTAATACGCTGGAAAATTATTTTATGAGAAATATCAGTCGGACACCCAATCTGATTCAAGCAGACAACGATTTACCGACCAGCAAGAAGTATGAATTGACAAATTGCTAACTGCCATGAAGTGTTAATATCACTTCGTTTCAATCCTCGTCTGGTTGTTCATGAGGGTATATTTAGCCTTCATTTTACGACGTATACTTAACGCGCCCCTACGTGTCAAAATAGTTGTATCTGCCTAGCCTCGATATTTTAAACTTTTCTACAGCGCCCGCTGCCGGCATTTTTCGCCTTCATTTTACGAGGTATATCTAAAAAACTCCTGAGTGTCAAAATAGTTGTATGCTGTGTGGTCCTAATGTTTTAATGCCATATAGAGTGGCCACTGAAGGCATGTCTCGCCTTTATTTTACGATGAATACTTCAGGCACCACTGGGGGGTTTAAATAGTACTATTGTAACCCTCTATGCTCGACACAAATAATTTTTTAGCTTACCTCCAGGCAGCAGAGCTTACGCACCATTGGCGGATCCAGCAAATTGGCAACTTTGTTTTAAAACTCCATTTAAACCCATGGAAATGTATCGATTGGAGGGACCGGGTGCTCCGGCAAGAATCGAATATTTAACATGGGTTTAAATGGAAGGAATCCAGTGTTGCCATATTGCCGGATCTGCCTCTGTTTCGCACTCAGATCAGAATAATTTACAGAGCCGTCTGAAGAGAAAATCCAGGGCGCAAATATAATGAAATTATATTCAGCGGCATCTGCGAGAGTTCATAACTCCTCATCAAACGTTTCCCGAAAACGCTACCCGACGCTACGGCTTCGCACTGTTCGACTGTTACGCCGGTTTTTCGGAAAAGCGTTTCCTGGGTTTATTGACTTTCCACTTGATCACTCTACGCCTCCGTCTTTCAAAGATTTTGCCCTGTTGCCAAATTTCGGAGGAAAATTATTTCGACCTAAGCGGCATGTCGAACTTCGGCACGGAAATGTCATTGGCGATTATCTGAAGATAGCTATACTGCTTGTCGTCCACTGAATGTGAGTTAGACTATCGATTCTGCTTCAGAAATCGATAGCTTGACCCACAGTAGTTAACTTTTAGATGCCCTAGGCTTTTTTGCACGTTAAGTCCCAAGTCGGGTCAAATTGATCAATTTAAAACACATTGATTTTAGTGGGTTTTGAAGTTTTATCTATGTAACTCCTATGTTTTTGAAGGTGAGAAATATTTTTTTTTATTTTCACCTTTTTGATAACATACTGGCGCTTTCTCACCCCCTCTTCGAGTTCACAACATGCAACGCTTTCGGAAAAGATAGTCGGGTCAAATTTACCCGGCTTGGGATTTCTACGGGTATTCTTAAAAAAAAAAATCCCTGACACGACACAGTTCCGACCAAAAATACCAATTTCTAGACGTGCTACTAATAGTGCACTTAAGAGATCTCAAAACATGTCTTCACTCTTTTTTCAAAATTACTCTTGATTTGGACACATCATAATATATTTCAAGCCAACTTAACCTTATCTTCTCTCAAATTTCAAATATGAGAGACACGTCAACGCGCGTTGATGACTTCTCAGAGATACAACTATTCCTGCTTGATGGAAGTCCGTGTTGCGTCTGCAAAATTGAAGGCGCGATAGCGCAAGGTGTGAACTGGAACTCGCTACGCTCTGCTCTAATCTGCCGGTGAGGTGTTAAAATAAAAAGTTAAAAATGGGACCCGATCACTTCTCTCCTGTCTTTGGTTGTGTTGCTCACGTAACTCTTGAAGCACTGCTACAAATAAAATAAGACAAACGGAGCCAACACAACATGGAAAAAGAGCAAATAAAAGAACACGTTTTGATGACGGCGCAGAGATACAACTATTCGTGCTCGATGGATGCCCGCGTTGCATCTGAAAAATTGAAGGCGCCCATGGCGCTAGAAGAGAACTGGAACTCGCTTATGAGAATGTCATTGGAGTCTAGTTTGAACTAGTGCTGAGTAAATGTAAATTCATTTTTAGCATCAATTTTTCTGACGAGTTTTGAACTTAATTTCGCCCAAAATCACCGATTTTTCAATTATTATTTTGTTATCTTTATTCATTTATTTATGACCGATTATCAATTTTTTCCGATTTTTCCGATTTCAATTATTATTTTTCAAAGTCACTTACCTTTTTCATAGACGGAGGGCTTCGTCGCTTCGTGTTTGTGTGTTTATTCATCCGAAATGGAGGAGGGGGCTCTATACCTGTACGATTATCTGCAGAAATTCTTGGAATTTTGTCATTACGGCAATCTTGATTATTGTAGACTGTTCAAGATTTATTTAAAATCCATGAGTTTGAAAGAATGTAATGGATGAGGGCTGAGGACATATCGATTACTTCTCTGGAGGCGGCAACTCTGCTGAGAGTCAACATGGCGTGGGATTTTATTCGGCCGTTATGAAGTTCTTGACCTCCGCAAGGGTGGCGAGTGTGTGGCAGAGTTGTCAATTTTGTTTCTTCAAGCCGATTCTTCTTCGATGACACATCGTTGATTCTATGGATTTTTGCGATATTTGGCAAGATGTTAGAGGGAAAAATCCGCCCCAATCTACCTACATCTCTGAATCGAAAGAGAATCCTACTAGATGGTATCCACGTTTATCAGCAAAATATGTTACAACTATTTGAGATTCAACCAACTTGAAACCAAATTATTTTAGATATTTGTGTCTAATTTATGCGGAACAATAGAAATTAATCAAAAATTTAAAATTTTGAGGGTTTGAGAGATGCACTCTTAAGTCCGAAATGGCCATAGTTTTTTCATGGTAATGATTTGCAACTTTTCTCAGGGAGGTCTCGCATGATTAACATCGTGGCCCTGGTAAAAATGGGCAGCAAATATTAAAGCATAACACAAAGCGGAGCGGTGACGCACTGCCGCCTCCAAACCTAACAGGGATACTTCACGCATTGCGCAATGCGTGAAGTATCCCTGTTAGGTTTGTAGGCGCCAATGCGCGTTTCTCGTGAGTTGTTTATCATAACAGCACGCGAGATGCGTTTTCCAGTTAAAGTTGAGCTTTTGACTTTGGACGCATCTATTTCAAATGTGACATCAATGTTAATGAGTCTCGCCTTTCACAATTTTTAACATTACCATTGCTGTTGCAGATCAACTTTACGATGAACATGTGATTTTTATGTTCAGACCAAGATATCCTACAAAAAAACCTGTTATGACACCGAAACCGCGTGTTCAAGTGAAATGTGCCGATTAATTTTAGCTTTCGATGGTAAAAATTTTGCTCTGGAAAAACATCACTGTTTGTCAAAAATACAAATCAGATTCAACTGAAAAAATTCATCGCCAATTATTTTTTCAATTTTTATTAATTTATTCCTTTTATTTGGTCCTCGGAATTACTGAAGCCACACAAAAGTATATCGTCACACCAATAGGACTTATCTTCCACCAAATACAGCAGAGATTTTTTCAGTTAATTTGTTTTGTTTTTTTTTTTTTTATTTTTGACCAGAAAGGTGGATAACCTCCAAATTGTGACTTAAAACTACTCGAGGGGGTCATAGAATTAAAGTACCGGAGTTGAGGGGACACTGACCTTTTGAGCAACTATTCCAGTCGCAAAGGAACGAAGCATCTCTGTAAACGACGCGCAACCGAAATCGTGTGAATTTTTGAAAGGTGTAGTAAAACTATTTTCCCTACGTTATGATCATGGAATCGATTTTTGGTGAACAAGACGCCGGTTTCCGTAGACAAAGGACGAATTGGATTTGGATTGTTTTGTGAAATAAGGAACTACCATTTCTGGCTCATCCACAAAATC